GTTCTAATCTGGCCTCAGACACTTACTAGCTATGTGACCCTGGGCAAGTCACTTCACCCTCTTTGTCTCAGTTTCCTCATCTGTAAAATGAGCTAGAGAAGGAAATGACAAACCATTCCGGTATCTTTGCTAAGAAAACCCCAAATTGGAACAACAACATCAATGATACATCTTCCCAGGAAACAATTTGGTCACTGACTGGATATGTGGGATGAAGAAGAGTGAGAAGTTGAGGATAATGCCAAGGTTACAAATTTGGGAGACCAGCAAGATGGTAGTACCTTCATTATAAGAAGGGAAGTTTGGAAGAATGGAGGGTTTGCATGGCTATGTGATAATAAGTTCACTTTTAGAGGTGTTTAGTTTGAAATGTCTCTGTTTTATTCAGTGACAATTGGTGATACAGAATAGAAGCTTGGGTGAGAAAATTAGAGCTGTATATGTATTACATATGTATATGCATACACACAACACATATACACACATATAATACACAGATATATGTGTGTATAATATGCATATATTATATACATATATGTGTATAATTTATGAGTTATCTGCATAGAGATTATAGACTAAACCTACAGAAAGAATGTAAAGAAAAAAGAGAGGAGGGAGTAGGGCAGAACTCTGGTGAACAGCCTAGCAGGGGATATGACTTGGATGAGGAGCCACAAAGGAGAAGGAGAAGTATTAGAAAGCTGGGTGGAAACACAAACATACTGGCAACATGTCCTAGTTCTCTCTGGACTTCAATTCTATGGTTGAGTGCTATTGCACAGAAAGTACTGCCATGTTGTATTCTTATTTCAAGAAACTTCTGTTTTTCTATTTCCTTAGGCAATAGTCCAGAGAAGGGTAGAAGTAGGTTTTATTTCAAATCTATTTGGTGGCTTCTGCAGCCCAGCTAGAAAATCATGGTTGCTGAGGGAATGCTTTGGGACTACCCAAATGTTGGTTCATTAGGTTGCTGTTTTTTTGTTTGTTTTGTTTTATTTGCCTCATTAAGGATCTTCATCATACATACATACATACATACATACATACATATATACATAAATATGTGATAACTAAAATTTCTTACAAATAGTTCTTATTTTGTAGAGGTTCGAGAGATCATGAGGATAAGAAAAAATTGTAGTCTTCCATCTAACTGGTCACATCAATCACAGGTATTTTAAAGGAAAATTCCATGTATTTGGCAAATGAAGGAATAGAGACATTGAAAAGGAGATAAATAAGTGATTAGGAGAGTAATGCTGAAAATAATAGAAATACAAATAGAAAAAAAAGTTTTGTAGATCAGTGGGAAAAGTCTGTTTCTGTTGGTGCTGAGAAAGGAAGGTGGGGTCTCAGCTTCATTCCCCAAGAGCATGGCCCTGGGGGGGCAGCTGCTTCCCGAACTTCCAGCCCACAGACTGAGGGGGAATCCAGTGGCTGATCAGAGAGGGATTGCAGGGATCTCTTTGCCAGTGCAGAGGCAGGAATCTCTTGCTTTGCCCGTGTTTGGATCTGGGTCACAGTTCTGGGTGGTGGTGCTGGGGTGAGGAGGAACACTGGTGTGGTGGGAGCTTGTAGTGGCTGTAGAGAGGAACCCCTCCTTACAGTTACAGGACAGAAAGGAACACTTGTGGTCACAGGCCAGGAAAGGAGTAAACACCTCACCCCTTATCATACCACCTTGCAAGAACTGAAAATTTACAGGTCCCTACGAGTATCTCTGAAAAGAGCTGTACAAACCCCTGAAGCTTGGGACAGTACATTCTCCACATGGGAAGCAGACTCTTACCTTAACAAAGAGTTTAAAACTCAAGTAATTGGCTGGGATCATGAGCAAGCAGCGCAAAAAGAGTCAGACTATATTATCTTACTTTGGTGACAAAGAAGATCAAAATATACAACCAGAAGAAGACAACAAAGTCAAAGCTCCTACATCCAAAGCCTCCAAGAAAAATATGAATCAGTCCCAGGCCTTGGAAGAGCTCAAAAGGGATTTTGAGAAGCAAGTAAGGGAAGTAGAGGAAAAACTGGAAGAGAAATGAGAGTGATGCAAGAAAATCATGAAAAACAAGTCAACAGCTTGCTAAAGGAGACCCAAAAAAATACTGAAAATAACACCTTAAAAAATAGCCTAACCCAAATGGCAAAAGAGGTCCAAAAAGCCAATGAGGAGAAAAATGCCCTAAAAAGAAAAATTGGCCAAATGGAAAAGGAAGTCCAAAAGATTACTGAAGAAAATACTTCCTTAAAAATTAGAATAGAGCAATTGGAAACTAGTGACTTTATGAGAAATCAAGACACTGTAAAACAAATCCAAAAGAATGAAAAATTAGAAAACAATGTGAAATATCTCATTGGAAAAACAACTGACCTGGAAAATAGATCCAGGAGAGAGAATTTAAAAATTATTGGACTATCTGAAAGCCATGATCAAAAAAAGAGCCTAGACATCATCTTTCAAGAAATTATCAAGGAAAACTGCCCTGATATATTAGAACCAGAGGGCAAAATAGAAATTGAAAGAATCCACAGATCTCCTCCTGAAAGAGATCCCCAAAGGAAAACTCCTAGGAATATTATAGCCAAATTCCAGAGTTCCCAGGTCAAGGAGAAAATATTACAAGCTGCCAGAAGGAAACAATTCAAGTACTGTGGAAACACAATCAGGATAACACAAGATTTAGCAGCTTCTACATTAAAGGACCGCAGGGCATGGAATATAATATTCCAGAGGGCAAAGGAGATAGGATTACAACCAAGAATCACCTACCCAGCAAAACTGAGTATAATCCTTCAGGGGAAAAAATGGTCATTCAGTGAAATAGAGGACTTTCAAGCATTCCTGATGAAAAGACCAGAGCTGAATAGAAAATTTGACTTTCAAATACAGGACTCAAGTGGAACATGAAGAGGTAAACAGGAAAGAGAAATCATAAGAGACTTATTAAGATTGAACTGTTTACATTCCTGCATGGAAAGATGATATTTATAACTCATGAGACCTTTGTCAGTATTAGGGTAGTTGGAGGAAAAAATTATATGTATGTATATAGATAGATAGAGGGCACAGGGTGAGTTGAAGATTAAGGGGTCATATCTGGAGAATAAAATTAAGGGATGAGGAGGATTATACTCAGAGAAGAAGAAAGGGAGAGGTAGAATGGGGTAAATTATCTCACAAAAAAAAACAGAAAAGTCTCTTACAGTGGAGGGAAACAGGGGAAGGTGAGGGAATGAGTGAATCTTATTCTCATAGGATTTGGCTTAAGGAGGGAATAACATACACATTCAATTGGGTATGGAAATCTGTCTTACCCTACAGGAAAATAGGGGGAGAAGGGGACAAGAGAGCAGGGGGATGATAGAGAGGAGGGCAGATTGGGAAAGGGGTAATCAGAAGTAAATACTTCTGAGGAGGACAGGGTCAAAAGAAAGAATAGAATAAATGGGAGGGCAGAATAGGATTAAGGGAAATAGAGTTCGTTTTTCACAAAATGTCTACTATGGAAGTGTTTTGCATAACTGCACATGTACAACCTATATTGAGTTGCTTGCCTTTTCAATGAGGGGGTGGGGAGGGAGGAAGAGAGAAAATTTGAAACCTAAAGTTTTAAAAACATTTTTAAAAAAAGTTTTCACATGCTACTGGGAAATAAGAAATACAGGAAAGGGGGTACAGAAGTCTATCCTGCCCTACAGGAAAATAGAAGGGGAAGGGTATAAGAGAAGGGGGGAGAGAAAGAAAGGAGGACAGACTAGGGGAAGGGATATTCAGAATGCATGCCATCTTGGGGTGGGGGGAAGGTGAGACGGGGTGAAAATTTGAAACTCAAAAACTTGTGGAAATGAATGTTGAAAACTACAAATAAATAAATTCATATTTAAAAAATTTTTTTAATTTTTAAAAAGACCCCCAAAAAATACAAATGCAAATTTAAACCATACTTAATGTTGGGTAATCAAATGGAAGCTGTTAGCCATTTTAGAATCTAAAATACATAATTAAGTTACATAACCTGGGAGGAAATCATTTAACTTGTCAGTGCCCAAGGCAATACTCTTAGAGTGCAAGTTCAATGAATTTGCCATTTTCATTGGTGAAGAGAATTTCCTAGCTTGGAGTTCCCTATGTCTGTGAAGTTACCTGAAACACCTGGCTTCTCCCCTCATTATACCTCACAATCATTTTCTCTTTGTTATTTCTTGGCCCATCAATGAAATTTCCCCCCAAATACACCGGAAACCCCACTCTCTTATCAGTAGGACATTTAATAGTACTGTACACACAGATGCCCCATCTGAAGCCCAATTTTTCCTAGTGGCCTAATCACCCTTTTCTCTAATTTTCTATGTCATTCCTACCTTCCAACTCTAGTTCTTTCTTGAGGGTATCAATCAATCAACATACATCTGTTAAACAAGTGTCAAGTGCCCCGGGATTACAAAGACAAAAATGAAATAGTCCCTGCCCTCAGCGAGCTTGCATTCTGTGGTGGAACCAGATTATACTTTAAATGGATAGACGAGGAAGGCGGTGGGAAGATTACTGGCTAAGGACTTGGAGAACCTAGGCTCTGCCTCTGATGCTCAGTACTTCAGTGGGGCCTAGGCCTCTCTCTGCTTATCAGCAAATGGAGGGGACTGGACTGAATGGCCTCTCAGGTCCCTTCCAGCTCTAAATCTACAGACCGATGTAACCCCAACCCCAAAAGCCCATTGGTACAGGGCTGGGAGAGTCCCTTACCTTCGTTATACTAACGCATTGAGTCAAAGAGACAACGTATTTGATAGGCCGGAACAACTCCGCCCGGGGTTGCTGTTACGGCCCATTTAAGAGATAACTCTTGCTTATTTGATTAATTGCTGAGGCAGTTTTGCAGCCTGACTCTGAACTACGTACTTCCTCTCATTTACTGCACCAAGCATCCGAAATGCCCTTATCCTTTTTCCCAGCCCCAAGGCAAACTCCGCCAGCCATCTGTTAAAAACCACTTCAACAGAAAAGCTTGGATTCTAATTCTCCTCTGCTACCGTTGGCAAACGGTAACGAGCAGCTTTCCATTTGATGTTCTTTCTGTGTGGGGCCCTCTGGATTGGCGAAGCCCGCGCGAGGTCTCTCTTTTCCTCGCCTCAGGAGCCAAAGCAAAGCCAGGGCCACCTGCCCGGGAGGAAAGAGGCACATCCCCGCCTTCGGCGCCCAGGGCCGGAGAGCAGGGCTGGTGGCCGGGGCCCAGCCCGCACTGGGAACTGCAGTACCCGGCGCTGTCCTCCAGAGTCCGCTGCGTCCAGCCGAGCTAGCGCACCCCTCTTGCCAGCCGCGGCGCGCACTGACAGTTTGCAAGGACACCCCAAAGGAGGCGCGTCAGCTCTCGGACTTCCTCCGGGCGCCGCCACTGATTGGCTGCCGGACGTTTTAAGAAACCCAGGGAAGAACGCTGTAACCTTGCAGAAACTTGCTGCTGCTGCTGCTGGGCTCTACCCTCTGCGCCCCGGCTTTTCCCCTCCCCGCCTTTGCCCACCCACCCACCTCCTGTCTCCGCAGCCGCGGCGATGGGACAGCTGAGTCTGGCAAGGCTGCGGTGCATCTGCGTGGTGTCCACCGCCCTGGTCGCTCTGCTCGCCTACTACGTGTACATCCCCCTGCCCGCCAACATCTCCGATCCCTGGAAGCTGATGCTGCTGGATGCCACCTTCAGGAGCGCGCAGCAGCTGGTGAGCCCCCTACCTCACGCCCTCCCACCGGCCCGGCCCTAGTAGCTCCTTTTCAGCCTCAGCTTGGAGGCACCTCCCTAGGGCGCACCCAAGCTTTGACTAGCCTGCCTGCTAAGGAGGCTGGGGCCCGGCCGCATTTGTTCTCTCCCCGTAACCCGATGCGCCGCCTCCTAGGGTTTTGTTTTTTTGTTTTTTGTGTTTAAAGCTGCCAGCTAATTTTCTGTTTCCCAAGCAGTTTCTCTTGACAGAGGATGAATTTCCCTAATGGAGGTTCAGCAACAGATAGAGGTGTTGGTCCCCGTGTGTCCCCATCCTGGCAATCTATAAACCCACCTCCTTCTGTTTCCTAAGACCCTGGCTGCTAAATGTTTGTGGGTAGGGAGAAGGGGCACACAAAATCGCTTGTCCCCGTCTGCCGGGGCTCTGGGGCCTTCTGTCCTCCTTAAAACGGAACTGGGTCTAAATGCAACTTCCTAACATCTTATGCCTTTGGGAAGGCTGCGTGTGACTTGGGTTACACAAGGTCACACAGGTAGTCGCTGTCAGGGATGGGAGGGAAGGCCTTGCCGGAGCATCATCCCACGTTTTCTATGCTGGCTTCTTAGCACAGACACTGGCCTAAGGGCCGTGGGGAGAGCAGATAGTCAATGTATGCATTCATGCCCTAAGCTGACGTTTATGTGCTTGTCTGATCAGAAGGTAAAATCTGGCTCTCTTGTTACACAGCCTGGATTGCCCTGGAAGGGTTTATCTCGCTAATGCATTCTGGGTGTGTTTCCTGTACCTACGGGAGGGAGGCTGTAGCTATCCCTGGTTTACCCTGAGATAAGGGAAGGTATAGTAGAAGGTGCAGCGCCGAAATGAGGAGCTACATTACCCTCCCTCTCCGCCCCCCCCAGTCCAAGCCTTCGGGGTATTCCTGTCTCCGACCTGCAACAAATCATCCTCCATTCCTTTTGTTCCTACCTTCTAGACTTTCATGTCCTCGGGTTTTGCACGAATTAAAATAGAAGGGAAGAAAAAAAAAATAAACACGTGCCTCTTCATTCCTTAAAATTCCAACTGCCAACGGCCCATTAAGGGCCTTTCCCGCTCAAAATCAGATGAACCAGTGAACTGATGAAGTGCTGACTTCCCACTTAATGCCCTCCTGTCCTCCATGTATTTTTCTTTTCACCTATCTGGCCTGTGTTGTTTTGGCTCTCTTCTCCATCCCACTCTTGCAGTCCTTTCCATCCATTCCTTGCCATCTCTGTGGCATTAGCATGGCAACAAATGACCCCATTTGTAGGACTCCTATGTCAGAAGCTACTGAAGGAATTGGAGCTCTCTTTGGGGAGGGTTCCCTAGATGGCAGCTAACATCACTTCCAGCTCTGGAAATCTTGAGATTCTGCACTGATTGCAAGCCAAGTAATTTTCAGGCCGGAAGCTTCAATTTGGCCAAAAGGAATTTTAAGATCCTTCTTGTTCCTGTCCTGAAGTTGAGTAAGCCAGGAATGATGAGTTAGAATCATTGAGCAAAGTGTTGCTGGCATTCAGTGAATGCTCAGGTGCGTGTTCAGTTCAGTAAAAGTTGAAGTTCCTCTCTGGCACTGTGCTAGACCCTGGTGAAACAGACAAAAACAAAAGAAATCTGCCCTCAAGGTGTTACCGTCTTGCTGGGAGGGATGGTGTGTGTAAACAGATAAATACAATTCGGTCAGGTCCAAACACCTCATTTTCTGGTTGAGGAAATTGAAACCCAGAGAGACTAAAAGTAACTGGTGTAAGATCAATCTGGTGAGAAATGTCAGAGGCAGGATTTGAACTAGGACCTCTGACTCCCAGCTTCTGCGCTTTTCCCACTAAATGACTGTAGCAACACTGAATAATTCTGCCCCCCCCAAACCCCTAAGTATGTGGGGGGAAGGGGGGAGAGAGGGAAGCAAATTAGGAAACGTTGCCAGTAATGTTTGTTAGCAGCTCCTAGTTTCCCCAAAGAAATATTCTCCAGTAGCACAGTGCAGTATGGAGAGAAGCCAAACTCTGGTCAAGTTATCCCTCTTTTCTTATTTAGGTTATAAATCTCTCAAGGGCAAAACCCCAGTCTTTGTATCCCATGGTGAAGTTTAGTGACCCGTACCTGTTAGAAAAAATGTTTGTTGATGTTGAAGTTGAGTGGCCATAGGTCTTCAGGTGACTCAGTGGATAAAACCCCAGACCTGGAATCAGGAAGACTCATCTATGTGAGTTCAAATCCAGCCTCATACACTTATTAGCTGTGTGACCCTGGGCAAGTCATTTAACTCTGTTTGCCTCGATATTCTCATCTGTAAAATGAGCTGGAAAGGGAAATGGCAAACCACTCCAGTATCTTTGCTAAGAAAACCCCAAATGGTGTCACAAAGAATCAGATGTGACTGAAAAACCACTAAACAACAAGAAAGCCAAAGGTCTAAAATAAATAAAGCAACTGGTGTCATTTCCTAACACCATGACTCAGAAAGGATTTGGGTTCCTCTTTCTACCTCCTGACCCTCCAGGGAGAATATGGGTCTTCCACTTATCACCCTGTTCTAAGACTGCCTTATGTGAAGAATGGTTCCTTTCTTCTCTTACTGGCTATCTGAATTCTGAAGAAAATCAGAAAAGCGATTTAAACCCCAGGAAGCAGAATTCTACCCGGAATAGTAATTTTCAAAAGATGATATATACTGAATCAAAAATGATGAAATGATCTGATAGCTGTTCCTCAAGGTGCATACCTGACATTAGGTGGGGGACACCTGTGGGCCATAGACAGATGACATTTTGTGGAGTATGGAAACAGAAAAGTACAACCAGTTTGCAGTGTTTTATGTCCGTGAAACCTATGGGGCTGCTACTGGGGTGGGGGATGAAAGATCCGTGACTCGAATATTCAAGGATGGTGGACAGGCTGTAATTATTATTTTTTAAATAAAGGGCAAAAGGAGCAAGTGTTTGCCCTGCATCTTGAGAAGGTGGCCAGCCCCTCACTTAAGTCTGCCTGTTGATTCCTTCTTTTCTTTCTCCCTGCCTTCCTTCTCACTGTTCCTGATCAGATAGATGATAGCACTTTTTTTTTTGAGGCAGTTGAGGTTAAGTGACTTGCCCAGAGTCACATAGAGTCTGAGGCTGGATTTGAACTCAAGTCCTCCTGACTCCAGGGCTGGTGCTCTATCCACCCCACCACCTAGCTGCCCCTGATAGTGCTTTTCTTGAGAAGAGTATGATGTATCTCACAAATCTTGGGGGACAATCTACTCCCTACTTCCAGCCCTGCAGAGCTGCAGGTACTGAAATGTCCCTAAAGTGACCCAGGTTGAATGTATCCGTGCAATCTTTCCTCAAGTTGTTCCTTTGTGATTCTGGGCCTGCAGATGGAAAAATTCCCTCAATCAAGATGTCAACTGATAAACTAACACATATGGATTAGGGGCCTAGACCAGAATTGTTGAACTTTGGGAGTTAGGCCTCTAGTCATTTCCTGTTAACCCACATTAGTTTATCAGATTATTTAGTTTTGCCAAAGTGCTAGGCCAGACAAGTAGCCCTTACCTACTACTGATATCTTGTAAATCTTGAATGGTGGAAGGAATAAGGGGAGGAGGGGTAGAGGGAGGTTATGGCATTAGTGGCTGGGAATGTCCTCTGGGTTGGGCAGCAGGATAATCTAGTCTCCTAAGAGAGGCAGCCCAGACCTCAGAGTGTTGCCCAGGGCTGAGAGACCTGCCCCACCCCCACTTCCTCTGGAGAAACAGGGAGCTGAAATTAGGTGGTTAAACAATGAAGATGAAGAAAAGTCAGATTACTTTAACTGAACCCCACTTCACACCTTTCTAGGTGTCACGGTTTATACCTCTGTTATGAGATGGTGACTCGACTCGGTGCATAGAGCATTTGACCTGGAGTCAGGAAGACCTGAGTTCAAATCCAGCCTCAGACACTAATGAGCTGTGTGACTGGGGGCAAGTTGCTCTGTCTGCCTCAGTTTCTTCATCTATAAAATGGAGTTAATAATAGTACCTACCTTCCTACCAAGATTGTTGTGAGGATAAAATGAGGTCATATTTATAAAACATTTTATAAACATCAAAGTGCTGCATAAATGTTATTGTTATATGTATAAAGACACATTTACGCACATACAGACATAATTTCATGCAATGTGGGTTTGAGAATCGTCAGCAATCTATGATAATCAATTTCACAAACATATTTTGTGCCAAATAGAAAATTATAAAGTAGCTAGCTGACTGTCTCTAGTTCCCTTTCATCCTATAAAAGATATAAATGAGTGGGTGCCAATACATAGCACATTTTGTTGTTGTTTTTCAGTCATATCTAACTATTTGTGTGGAATTTTCTTGACAAAGATATTGGAGTGGTTTGTCATTTTCTTCTCCAACTCATTTTACAGGTAAGGAAACTGAGGTACACAGGGTGAAGTGACTTGTCCAGGGTCTAGTAAGTGTCTGAGACCAGATTTCAACTCAGATCTTCCTGACTCCAGGCTTGGCATTCTATCCACTGTGCCATCTAGCTGCCTGATGTGTAGTACATGCTTAATAAATGCATTTTCATTTTTTCATTTGAATTTTCAAGGAGCAAAAAGTGTCTTAGTTCTACTAGCTGAACGTGCATCAGTGCAATGACTTCCATGGTTCTTATTCTTTTTATTATGACCAGCCTCACAGAGTCACAAATTTAGAACTGAAAGGGACCTTCAAGGTCACCCACTCTGCCAGACTCCCTTTCCAATTTTTTCTCTTTTAGAAAAATTGACCAACAGCAGCACACATGAAAATTTTCTTTATAAAGAATTGAAAAAGGGGGATTTTATAAGGTAGTGCTAATTTCTATTATGAGCAGCTTGATTTTTTTTTTAAAAATAAGGTAGGGGGAGTGGCAGACATAGGTCTTGAGATCCCATTAGCAGGAGAGATGCCTCTACCAATGCAAGTTGGTACTTCCTATGCCACCTACATTCTTAGAGGT